TGGGGGCGCTGTTTTGTGGCATATAGCTACCTTTGCATCCCACAAGAATGTTTCTTTTTGGCAAGCAGAGATCCCTACACATCTATGCATATCCTGGATGTGTTCATTTCTTACAAAAGAAACATACTCAACTAATTGCTGAAGGCTGTTTACATGAGACTTTTTCCTTGTCACAGTTTTGAAAGGCATATCAAAATAATAGAGTTCCACTCCAAAAGCTTCCTTGTTTGATTCTTTGGGTGAACACACAGAGAGCTGGAGGGGAAGGTGCTGAAGCATGAAGGCCATTGAAGGCAGGTTCTCCAGGAGGAAGAATGGTAGTGCCATATAATTTAAAGTCTCTAGGTAATAAAGGCAAAGGCAGTAGATGAAATAGGGGAAGGGTGAAGGGGTGGCACATTGGGATCCTGATCTTTGTTTTGGAAGTGGGAGAGGTGTTTGGGCTTTTGGTTTTTGTTGGATCATGGATGAATTAGAACTTCTACTATTACTTGATATAGAAACTGATCTACATTTGACATGCTTGATATAGCAACTTTGAGACTCTAATTGATGAAAGCAACCAAGGAAAAAGGACTCTCAATGACTGAAAAGATAAATGACCTAAGTGTTTGTGGCACAAAACAAATTCATTTTACTAAACTGACTAACTCAAAACAAAAACAGTTGAGGTAGAGGAGGCAACATGAGATTGCTCATGCGTGCTGAGGTAATAAGAAGGAAAGTAGGTCATACTGCAATTCAAGGACTTTGCCAATGAACTAACAGACTTAAGATTAATGGGGAACTTGGGTATGTGAAGAATAAAARATATCAGGTTGGATGTTGTTAGTTCCTTTCCTAGCAATAGACAAGTAGGACCTATCAACAATACTTACCTTGTCATGACCAAAATACAAGAAATATGGACAAAACAAGTAAAACTTATTTGTCGTACGGTTAGATGCCCTTGAGTTAATTATCCAAGAATTGTTGGTAGAAGGGACATAGGCATGGTTAGTTGAGTGTATACTTTGAATGGGTGAAAGCTGAAGAAGCTGGTGTGGACTTGTTAAAACTGTCCAGTGTCCACTAGAAGTTAAAACCTTTCCACATCTTCCTTAGCACTTTCCCTATTACCTTCCTTGTTTTTGTCAAGATTTTAACGGGAAAAAGATGGTGGTGGGGCATACATCTCAAGGCATATGCCTCAAAATGTCTCAAAGTCTATGTAGGAATCTTTCTTGTATGTATGTATGCAATTTTCTTGTAGATTTTTGAATTTTATTTATTTATTTATTTTTGATAGCTAATTTTAAATTTTTATTTATTAGATGCACTTTAATATAACTCTTGCATAATATATTATTTCTCAGAATGCAAGCAGATACAACAATCCATGCATGGGTCTCAATAGCACATTTAACAATAGTAGTGAAAACATATTCGACTTGGATACCAAATATCCAGAAAATCAATGGAATATTTTAAGAAAGACAGAGTATCAGATAAATCATTTCAAATAGTTAACAGTGTAATTAGCATAATTTCAAACCACAATTGTCTAAAAGTTTTGCTTATAATTTATCATTTCATAAGGTCAAATATTTTCTCATGCTTGGTCCTATTTTATGTAAGAAAAAAACAATTAAGTATTATATACTTTTATTCAGTTAACATTTTCAAAACTAACTAGAGAGATGGAAGGTCCCTTACCTGGCACACTAAATCCTAATACCCAATATATATATATATATATAATACCAAGATAGTAATATATTAGCTTTATTCTCAGGCTTTGTGGGTATAGGAGGCTCTATTAGAGCTGAGCTTCTAGCGGCAGTACAAGGTATTCAGATTGCAGACTAGTTAGGAGTTCAGAATTTGCTTATTGAAGGAGACTCCAAAGTCGTTGTGGGTTGGTTAAAATCGAAAATTGGACTTACCTGAGGTCTTTGATCAGCTCTTCATGCAGTCAGCCGATCTAGGGCTGCATGATGGAGCAGCTCAAGAAGTCTTTAAACTCGCTTTGATACAAAGTAGAAAAGTTTAGATAGCTGTTTCGATATAAACTTTGTGAAAAAGAAGAAAGAAGGGAATAGTTTCTGCTAGAAAAGAAAAGAAGAAGAAATAGAAGAGAATGACAGGAAGCCTAAAATCAGGTCTTGCCGCCCCTTTCTTTTTTAATTATATACTCATAAAAAAGAGTGTACAAGTACAAGTATGCCCTTAGTAAGTCGGCTACTTGTAAGAAGCTAAAAAACACACTTAACATAAACTAATGGGCCTATGGCCCAAAAGCTTCCTAACTAAGTTATGTAAATAAAAAATAAATAAAGTCGGCCCAATAACTTAAGGCCCAAGAACTCAACAATACCTATTAAATAAACACTAGAAGTTAAAAATGGAAAGACAGATGCAGTTGGTGCCAATAACATAGAACAACTTCTTGACATCTTTTTATCAAGTTCTTTTTCTTTTTTATCAGTAATTTTATCAAGTTCTTTTATTAAGAAAAAATAGTAAAAATGGAAAGAATGTTCACGTAAGACCATTTTTGTTATTAAATTATTTAACCGTCACTTCTTTATTGTTCCATTCAGTAGAAACAGGAGTTTGTAGTTGCAACTTATATATCATTTTTGCTTGTATTGCTTCTTTTGTTGATCCAAAATCATGTTGAGTTTGTTAAGATCACATTTGACAGACCTGGTTGGATGACTTGATTGAAAATGCTTGTTGACAAAGAAAATGAAATTTATATTGTTTTTGTAGATTGTGTACACTTCCGTTTGCTTGGCTGATATTCCAAGCGATCCTTCTGACTTTTTCCCACTCTCAGTAAATTATCAAGAGCGTTTTTCTGCAGCAGGTCGAACTAGGTACGTTTTGTACTCATGCTTTCTCTCTGATTTTTTCTCATTTTTGCTTTCAATGAAAAACTTGGAGTTAACATATTCTTGCATATGGTCTCTCGTCATTTCAGTGGTGGTTTTTTCAAACGAGAGGGGAGGGCTAAAGATCATGAGGTACTAGGATCTGCATTTCTGTCATTGGTAACTTTGTTATTCTGGTTGAAAACTCTGGCTGTTTTAGTAAACCTTTTATGGTGGAATAGTGAAAAATCGAAAGGAACTTCAGGGTGCAGATAGAAAAAGGGATAAGGTCCTTAAAAGTGAAATCTTGATAAGCATCTAAATAATATCTTAGGCTTAGTTTGGAAAGAGTACAAATACAATGCAAAAGCATTTATTTTGTATTCCTAAACTATGTGAACTTAAAAGAAAAAGGAAAAAAAGGTGTAAAAGAAGAAGAAAAAGGTGAAGAGATTAGTTCAGTCAAGGTTGAAGCTAGAGAGAAGGAAGAATAAAGGTAAGAGAAAAGAATCATCCAAGAGAGAAGATTTGAAAATGAAATTTTCCCTCTTGTCGACCAAGCGTATTAGACTTCTAATAAGACACAACAATGACCTCCATAGGGAAAAGACGGAAATACCCTTTCTGCTAGACTTTACCACTCCCCTTCAAGCTGGAGCATATATATCATAAAGCTCCAGCTTGTTACAAACATAACTTATTCTAGTTATTCTTTTGATCTCACATATGGTGTGACGAGATCTCCACTTGTCACCTTTTCTCTTACAAAATGACAATCAACTTCAATGTATTTAGTCCTCTCATGGAAAGTTGGATTGGAAGCAACGTGAGCGGTGATTTGATTATCACAGAAGAACTTGATTAGCTTGCTAATAGGAATGCCAGTCTTTTGGAGGAAATGATTTAACTAAATTAATTCACAAGTGGTGTGTGCCATTGCCCTGTATTCAACTTCAACACTACTTCTGGCTACTAAACTCTCTTTCTTTTCCATGTGACTAGATTCCCACATAGGATGATATAATAACTGGTATCTGAAGCAAAACTAGGAGGCAAGATGGTGAGAGAGGGGAGAGAAGGTTTCATTCCAGCAACAAGATGGCGAGAGGAACTGGCGATTGAAGAAGCGAATGGGGCGGAGACAACAGTGGTCGGGAGTGGAGAAGAGATGGAGAGGGGGAGAGAGAGAGACAGGGAGGGAGATAGGGTGTTAACCGCCCTTGCTGAGAGTTGCAACAACGATGGCGGGGAAGACAGGGGTGAGAGACCATGGCTTCGCTGCTTTAGGAGAGAGACAACTTCGTCAAGCGAACTCGAAGAACGAGGCCATCAGAGTCGAATTTTCGCTAGAGATCGACAATGGAGAACATGCCAATAGAGGCGGAGGTTGATGATTTTTCTCTGCATCAGAGAAACTTGAACAGAAACGATCGTGAAGGACGTTCCTTTGGAGGGTCGTTATGAGTGGTTTTGCTTAAAGCCATGAGATGAAAACAAGGGTAACGAAATAGGAAAAAAAAGCATGGAAGAATGGGATTCGAACCATGGCTTCGCATAGGTCGACGTCGAAGCTACCGAAAGGGTTTCTTCGAGGAAGAATGGGATTTGAGAGAGATTTTCTTTCTGGTGAGATCTCCATCATAGGGTTTCTTCAAGTTCTTTATCGCCGTCTCCCGTCTCGTTCGATGGCAATAGATCGAATCGGCTTCTATTGAGAAATGAGGGTGTAATTTGTCATTATTAAAAATATCAAGGATATTTTAGACTTTTGACCAGGTTTGAAACGCATCTGACCGCACTCAGTGCTTGGCTTGGGTCTTAAAGTTTAAGATCAGAATTTCTGAAAGTGGCATTCAGGTAAACTTTTAAGAGATGACCCCAAATGTCTATTACCTCTGAAAAGCAATTTTTTCAGAGATAAGAGGTAGATTCAGCGTTATCAAATGCCACCTAATCTTTTTTTTCTTTTTTTTTGTGTTTGAACCTTGTCTTCCAAGTCCGAAGGAAGCCATTAAGCTGCAAGCTAAGGGTAAGATTAATGGGGATGGGGAGGGTGGAGAAGTTAGGATTGGAAAGGATGAAGAAGAGGAAAAGGCATGAAGAATTTGGGATTTTATTGATAGTATGTTGGAGTATCTCAAGAGAAAGAAATTCTGAGAAGAGTAGGGGAGGGGAAATGATGTAGGACCAGCTTTCTAATTCTTAGAGAATGTGTGATGGTCTTCTTTGCTCAGAAATTTATGGCTGTTGATGGCCGTAATGCCTTCTTGAAGGAATATGAAAGAAAATAGGGTGAGCAAGAAGAGAGAAAATACCTGGAATCACTCATAGGGTGCCTAGAATCATTCTAGGGTATGTGAATCACTCACCATAATTAGCATAAGCTGAAGAAAACTTAATAAACTTCATTGCTCTGTGTAAAACGTCCATACATATTTGTAGAGTATATTTATAGAGTCTAAACTCATAATAATCTTAGGAGTCAAACTGTTAGACTCAATAATCCTTGCAGGACTCAACTAAGCTGTCATATCTTGTTTCAATTAAAAAAAAGACTCAATAGCTCTAATCCTACTTATGCAATGACATTGAAATTTTAAACACAAACAAACTATAAATAGACAATCTAATCCTATTATTGGACCCTATAGCAAAAATTGTAAAATAACAAAAATACCCTATTATTGGACCCTGTTGTAAGGCCTTATTCTCTTAGAATAAGTCTTCAAGGGTGTTGATAAATTCCTATTAGGAAAAGGTAGTGGTCTCTGAAGGAAAGTCCAGAGTGTCCTTGAGCCATCAAGGGAGGAAGAGGATGGTGATGATACAAGTGATTCAGTGGATGACTTTGTATTTAAGCTAGGGTGCAGGCTGATGAATCCAAATGACTTGAAAACTTCCCTCAAGAAAGATAAGGAAGAAAGTAAAGTTGGGAAAAGGAAGATGAGTGAGGTTGACAAACTGAAGAGAGATGTTGAAGGGTGCAAGGAGTTTAATGCAAGAAAGGRAAGGGTCAGGGGAAGCAAATAGGTGTAGAGTTAAGGGGTGATTTAAACTGAGATTGGTGAAATGGAGATTGCTAGTTGGAATGTGAGATATGGGGAGGCCTAGAAAAAGAGCCATCATTAAAGAGGTGCTTAGGAGAGAAATGCTTGATGTAGTTTTAGTTCAGGAATCTAAATTGGCTGATTTTGATAGAAGGTGGGCTAAAAGCATTTGTAGACCTAGAGGCCTTTGTTGGGCAATATTCCTAGCTTGAGGTGCTTTAGGTGGCATTGCGACAATTTGGAACAACGATTTTGTGATTGGAGTTGAAGAACTTGTTGGCAAATTTACAATGTCAATTAAATCCCAACAAGTTGAATATGGTTTCGACTAATGTTTATGACCCCAATGGATATAGGGAGATGAATGAATTTTGGGAGGAGCTAGAAGATATCAAGGGTCTTTGGGATGGGCCTTGGTGCTTGGGAGGTGATTTTAATGTGATTAGATTCATAGATGAATCAAATAACCCAAGGCAGAGAATAAGTACAAGCACGGGGAAGTTTATTCAGTTCATTGATGGGTTTGAGCTCAAGGAATCACCCCTTGCTTGCAACAAATTTGCTTGGTCAAATTTGCAGGCTAACCTAGTTTGTTCCAAACTGGATAGATTCTTATTTACTACAACTTGGGAGGAGCACTGGGGGAGTATCAGGTCCAAAATATTACCAAGAGTCACTTTAGATTATTGACCAWTATCTATCTTTAATGAAAACAAGGGTGGGAGGAGTCTAGCTCCTTTTAGATTTGAGAATATGTGGCTGCGCAATTGGGGATTTGTAGAGAAGGTGAAGGAATGGTGGGAAGGTAGCAATCCTAGGGTTAAATGGGAAGGCATGAAATTTCATTGGAAATTGAAGGAGCTCATGTCCAAAATTAAAGATTGGAACATCCAATCATTTAGAAGATTGGAAGAGAAAAAAAAGAGGTATTAAGCAAAATTAATAATTTGGATTTGAAAGAAACTATGGGTGATATTGAAGAAAGAGATAAAGAAGAGAGATGGTCTTTGAAGAAACAATTGGAGTATGTTTTACTTAAAGAGAAGGTTAGTTGGAGGCAAAAATCTTGGGTTAATTGGTTGAAGGAGGGAAAAATAAATAATTTTCAGTGCTTTGGCCAATGGGAGAAGAAAAAACTTTATCTCTAAAGTTGTGGTAAATGGTACTACTATCTCTCGATAGGATGAGATTGGCCAAGTGTTTGTGGATCAATTTAAATCTATTGTTTGGAGACTGTTGAATGAGAAAGTATGGGTTGAGGACCTAGAGTGGTCTAGTTTAGAGGGGGATTCTAGGGAGTGGTTAGAGAGAAGGTTTGAGTTGAGTGAAATTCCAGGGCATTGTGTTCTTTATATCTAAAGCTCCTGGACTGTATGGTTTTACTATGGCATTCTATCAAGATTGTTGGGAAGTGCTAAAAGATGATCTACAGGGGGTGTTTGAAGAATTCTATGAAAGGGCAATGATTAATCCAGGTCTCAACTCAACATTTATTGCATTGATTCCAAAAAGGATGATGCCTTGCACCTAAAGGATTTCAGGTTGATTAGCTTGGTTAATAATTTATACAAGATCATTGCCTAGGTTCTTTCTCGAAGAATTATAGCAGTTTTCCCTTCCATAATCTCACAATCTCAAGGGGCTTTTGTAAAGGACAAACAAATTATTGATCAAATTATAATTGCCAATGAAAGTGTTGAGGAGATGAGAAGGCCTAGAAAAAAGGGCTTTATATGCAAGCTGGATCTAGAAAAGGCGTATGATTTGGTTGATTGGTGTTTTGCTTGAGGTGATGAGGAGTATTCGCTTGCTTCACTCGCTTGCCTCCGCTTCGACAAGACCCCCCTTTCAACTAGTGCTATGCATCTTCGTTCTTTTTAATATAAAGAATTTTATTAAAAATGAAGAAAAATTAAATCCTCCTTCCTCTTCTTTCTCCTCCCCTTCCTCCTCATCCCCCTCCTTATAAGGAGGCTTATGCATCCTTGTGTTTGGGAGGCTTGCGCCTCTTACATTCTGAACTACGCCTCACGCTTCTAGGTAGTGGAACACCTCACATCATGCCTCTGCGTTTTAAAACATTGGTTGGGGTTTACCATTGGGGGA